CCAACGGCCATCGTCTCTACGAGCTATGTGCCCCGCCCACTGCCACTTGGTTTTAGCAATTCTGCGAGCNTTTTTTTATGTGAGTGCAGTCGATGAGTCCTAAAATTCTGGGTGTATGTGCTCAATTTCGTACATTTATATACTGTGCGCCTTCTGGCCCAGGTGGAGGGAAGATCTTCACATGAGTGCAGTCGATGAGTCCTAAAATTCCGGGCACACGGTACTTCTCAAAGCCGGCTGCTACACTTCTCCGGGCAGGCTCTGAACCTGGGAAGTGAACCCATTCAGAAAAGAGCCTGTAATATTAAGTATTTAGTAAGGTAAGGTTTCAATAGAAATAATAGTTAGACACTCAGGTTGTGTTTCTTATTAAGTTTCTAATAAAGCTAAGTTCATAATTAAAGACTAGTTGGAAGAAGTACATGAATGTATCTACATAGTATGAAGCATTCAAAAATTGGCTTAAAAATCGGCTCACGGTGGTCTGGGACAGGCAAAGACTGTGATCCTGATCAATCTGCCGCTGGTAGCCACCATTTGCCAGAAATTGAACACAACATAGAACCTAAAACATAACAGACAATTACATATTTGGCACCGGTTTTTCGTCTTGTGATGATAGCTCTTGTAGTCAATTTGAAGATGGACGATTTTATGGACTTACCTTTAGATGGACAGGAATGCCCTGAGCATTTAGCAGCTCCAAGTCTTCCCTTAATCGCTCTGTTATATACATAGCCATTGGCTTCGAAATTCGCCATAGGTACTGACACTCGGCATCCTCAATATCACAGGGATTGCAAATGCCCCGGATCCTCTTTCGAAGTCAGAAATTGTGTTCACGCATTTCCCTCTAGGTACATCGTCGTTAAAACATTCATTGACTGGACTAATGATTTTTTTACATTATGCGCCTTTGACTTTGGGGGACTATAATCCTAATCTCCTATTTGGCTGTGAGAAATTTCTCCTGGCTTATTGTTGAAAGCGTAGGGTATCTGAGATCAATCAGCACCCGGATGAAGATGATGAAATTTGTGATGAAGATTTAGTTCCATAATTCTGTATTATCTAATAGTAATGCGGGAGGTGGTAAAGTTGTTTAGATGTCTCAACCCAAATGCCATAAAATTAACATGATGTGGGAACAGCAACCTAGTGTATGTTTACCCACAATATAACTGCAGTAATGGGAATGTATTGCTTGTCTGCCCTGCTTGTCTCCTTGTACTAGAATGTATAATATCCTGATGAAGGGAAGTTGCTATTCCTTTCTATCCCCATGTTCTTCATCACGCAACAGCCGACGGACTCGTTGCTCTTCTGAACTGGAGAGGCGGCGGATGAGTTAATTTTTAAGCAAGGTATTATTCTATTTTTTCATGAACATTAAGACGAGCGAATGAACTTTTATAGCCGCAATTTTACACTTATAGAGCCACTTATCACTGTGCGACAACCGACAAACGAACCCACTTTATTGTACTATTGTGCCGCAGTCATTCAGAGTGTTCACGCAGAACTAATAAATGAAATCCATTGAGTTTTTAATTTAATTCCTTTATTGTACCTTATACAGAATCTATATACAGGGTGGAAACGATAAGTGATCTCACTCGATTATTTCTAAACTATATAAGATATCGAAAAACTGGTTATTGATCCTGAAAGTGCTTCACGAGCTCTTTCAAACGGTATCAGTAATAGGTTACAGAACTAACTGGATCTATCCAAAAATTCAATGTTTTCAGGCTCCATACTAAATGTATGCCAGCCACACAATATTAGAAGTGTTATTTTTTTTTATTCAATAATAAACACAAATTGAACTCTAAATTGCATTATTCTTTAAAATTGTTCATTAAAAACATTGGTTTTAGGCTTTTACTTGCTATAATATTATCAAGACATGAGTGCCATGACTGTGGCAGTACTAAATGTATGGAAGCTGGAAATATTGAATTTTCGGATAGATTCAGTTTATTTTGTAACCTATTATTGGTGCCATTGGATAGAGCTCGTGGAGCACTTTCAGGATCAGTAACCAGTTTTTGGATATCTTGTATAGTTTTTAATATTATGTGGTTTTACTAAATGTATGGAAGCCGGAAACATTGAATTTTCGGATAGATCCCGTTTATTTGGTAACCTATTATTGGTACCGTTGGATAGAGCTTGTAAAGCACTTTCAGAATCAGTAACCAGTTTTTGGATATCTTGTATAGTTTAGAAATAATCGAGTGAGATCACTTATCGTTTCCACCCTGTATATAAAAGAAAGTCGTGTTAGTTACTCCACTTATAACTCGAGAACGGCTGAACCGATTTAGCTGAAAATTGTCAGGGAGGTAGTTTAGAGCCAGGAGAAGGACATAGGATACTTTTTATCCCGTTCGAAATTAAAAAAAGTCTGCTTATTTATTGCCATTAAGGCGGAACAAAGTTCGCCGGGTCAGCTAGTTACATATGAAAGAGATAACGTGGCGGCCGGCACGTCCAGCCGGTTCGTCGGTGGTTGATAGGCGACAGTGACCATCTCAGATCATAGAAGGGAATAGATGTGAAACGGGGGCGTGGCGCGTGTCTCCGCGATATGCCCAGAAACGAACATCGTCCGCGACGCCAGGTTAGTCGCGATTCAGTCGTACTGAGGAAATGTTCTCCGATATTGTTGGATAATGCGTCGTAACGTGCAATAACATAAGTGAAACGAAGAACTACAGGAACAATGAAGTCATTTACCACATGTAAGTATTGCAAATCCATTGGTATTTTGCTTATAAATAAAAAAAACTAAACATTTTTACGAACGAATTCAGTGCCGTGACATTTACTGCGATATCGAAATTAGTGGTGATAAAAATTCAAACACGTTGTACATTGACGATTTAGTTAGCAACCACTTTATGTCATGCGTAACTACTGCGCAATGTATTTTATTTCTTCCGATATCCACTGACGCGTGAAAATACACAGTACGGCCGCATGTGCCGGTCGTAACATAGTGCAGGGCTCGTGTTCTAATACGGTTTCCTATTATCGATAAATAGAAGTAAATTATTATTTTCTATTTTCTAATTTTGAATGAAAAAATCATGAGTTGCTTGCGATTTTTAAGTTTTTACAAAAACAATAACAATAGTAGAAGGGATTAGTAACTGTCAACTATGTAATTACTATAAGAGCTAGTTGAAAGCCTAATATAGGCATTATTTTTGATAAACATAGGCGGTACGAATTTCGCCATAATTAAAAAGTTAATGCGCGATAGTAGTTAATAATAATTACAGTGATCCAGATATAACATCTACTTTAATCATGAGAATAAATTTTATAATAATAGATACATTAACTTAAAATGACTTAAAAACTTAATAATTTAAAAATTACTAATTATAAAAACTATTTACAAAATAAAAAATACTTCACCCCCAGCGCCGCAGTCAGGAATGGTGCCCAAAAGGCTGGCAGCATTGCCACGTTGAATGGCCAGGCTAATTCTCTGACCAAAATAGCTGCCAGCCTTTTGATCACCGGTCCTCAATGGGATGAAACTCTTCTTCGTCGAGATGAGAGGTGAGTCACCTAATAATTCACACATATCTGAAAAGCTATTTAACCGCTTCAAATTCTTTATGGCATCATAAAAGCCATCAAGGTATTTTGGAATAAATTGATAATTATCATCAGTAAACTCATAATTCAAAACAACAGTTGTAAGTTGGTGGAATATCAGCTGGCGAATGGAAGTGGGCAGAGATCGTAAAATGCCTGTCGCTCTGCCTGGGGTGTCGCTGGATTAGCGATGCGTTCAACTGTCTGTCGAAGATTCGAGAAGAGAATTCCAAGGATAGGATCCGTTGGGCATTTTGCATAGTAGGCCTCATTCTCGTATTCAAAACTTCCGATTCCATCTAACAGATTGGTTAGTGGTGAGAAAGTCACGGCCATTGACTTCAAAATGTCTCTTTCTTCGATTGTGAGACGTGGGCGGTAGAAAGCTCCAGCATCGAGGGCTCCAAGTGTGTTAACTTGCGAGGCTTTTCCATGAATGAGACGATATTCAAACTGCGCTAAAGATACGCGGTAAAACGCGTATGGCGTGCACTCCGGTATGCGATCTGGTCTACGACCGTATAATTCATACACCTTCTTGAAGATCCATTGGGTGTAGAACCCTATAGCCCGGGTTGTCACGGGGACTACAGCTGCTGTCTTTTGGATTGAAAAATCCACGGCTTTCTCGGTCGTTAACGCATCACCGAATCCGAAAAACAAGCGCTTATTTATCTTATCTGCAATGTCTTTTTCAGCTTGTATCTTCTTCGGATGGTTTTCGCGGTTTTATTATTAAAGTAAATAATAATATATTACCAATATTGTAAATACTGGTAAAAATCATACTACTAATATACCCATGACNTTGGTTTTAGCAATTCTGCGAGCTATGTCGGTCTCAAGACAAAAGTCTTCGAGCAGTGTGTGCTGCCAGTGTTGATTTATGGATCCGAAACGTGGTCGCTTACTATGGGCCTCATAAGAAGGCTCAAGGTCACCCAAAGGGCGATGGAGCGGGCCATGCTTGGAGTTTCCCTGCGTGATCGAATCAGAAATGAGGAGATCCGCAGGAGAACCAAAGTGACCGACATAGCTCAGAATGTTCACGCAGAACTAATAAATGAAATCTATTGTTGAGTTTTTAATTTATTGTATCTTATACAGAATTACATTTGAAAGTGATGACGTGCCGGCCGGCACGTAATTGGGGGATACAGTGACCATTCTCTACATGGAAGAGTGAACGGGCGCGGACCGAATGATCGAACGGTAGTGATGTGTGAACATCCTGTCATAGACACAGAGTATTGAAGTCTACAAAAAGACACAAGAAATGGATGTTCTTGTGTCTTTTTGTAGACTTTATAACAGTCGATCGATCCAGGTTCTTCATACTTACCTCCTTTTGCAGTCTGAGCGATAATTATTTCTTCTTGTTTAGATGAACCCATTTTCTTGGCAAATTACATCTTTTAATGTTTTACACATTGACACTGAGTGTATGTGCTCCTTTTCGTAGATTTTTATACTGTGCGCTTTCTGGCCCAGGTGGAGGGAAGATCTTTACATGAGTGCAGTCGATGAGTCCTAAAATTCCGGGCACACGGTACTTCTCAAAGCCGGCTGCTACACTTCTCCGGGCAGGCTCTGAACCTGGGAAGTGAACCCATTCAGAAAAGAGCCTGTAATATTAAGTATTTAGTAAGTTAAGGTTTTAATAGAAAGAAAAGTTAGACACTCAGGCTGTGTTTCTTATTAAGTTTCTAATAAAGCTAAGCTCATAATTAAAGACTAGTTGGAAGAAGTACATGAATGTATCTACATAGTATGAAGCATTCAAAAATTGGCTTAAAAATCGGCTCACGGTGGTCTGGGATAGGCAAAGACTGTGATCCTGATCAATCTGCCGCTGGTAGCCACCATTTGCCAGAAATTGAACACTATTCTATGTTAGAACCTAAAACATAACAGACACAATTTTACATATTTGGCACCGTTTTTTCGTCTTGTGATGATAGCTCTTGTAGTCAATTTGAAGATTGATTTTATGGACTTACGCGTACCCATAACTGCGGCCTGCAGCTCCAGGCGGGGAATCGAGGTGGTCTTCAGCGGCGCGACCCGGCTCTTAGCCAGGACCAGTGTTGTGTGCGCCCGTCCGTCGTTGTCTTCCACCCGCCAGTAGAGGGCGGCGGCGTAGGCGGTCTCGCTGGCGTCGACGAATACATGTAGTTGAAGATTGTCGCCTTGAGTGAAGTGAGGGTAGCACCGGGGTATCTCGATGGCACGGAGGGCTTCCAATTGCTGGACCCACTTGGCCCACCTCTCCGCCAGGTCATCCTGTAGATGTTCGTCCCACGCGGTGCTCCGCCTCCAAATCTCTTGAAGTATTTGCTTCGCCTGGACTGTCACCGGCGACACGAGGCCCAGGGGGTCGAATAGGGACATGACCACCTGGAGGGCCTGTCTCTTGGTGGGCTTCCGGTGTAGGATGTCGTCGGGCAGTCGGCTCAGGTCCAAGTTGTACTTCAATGCGTCGGATGACGTCTTCCATATCATTCCCAAGACCTTTTCGTTCTTGAGGCCCAGGGAGCGCTCCTCGAGCGCCTGCTCCTCTTCCAGCTCCTGCAGCACCCGCGGCGAGTTGGAGATCCACTTGCGCAGATGGAAGTGCGCTCGGCGATGGATGTCGCGTACTTGGGCGGCGATCTCGATGGCCGACTCTTCGTTCTCGAAGCTCTGGATGTAGTCGTCCATATAGTGGTTGTCTCTTACAGCTGCCGCGGCCTTGGGATATTGCGCAGCGAACTCTTCTGCGTTTCTGTTTTTCACGTAAATTGCAGTAGCCGGTGAGGATGTGGCCCCGAAGATTAACGAGGTCATTCTATATTCTTGGGGTGGAGCTGTCCTGTCGCACCCCCGCCAGAGGTACCGTAGAGCGTCCCGGTCCTCTGGGATGATCTTGACCTGAAGAAACATTTCTGCAATGTCTGCAGACACCGCTACTCGGTGCTGACGCATCTTCATCAGCACACCGGGTAGGGATTGCAGGAGGTCGGGCCCGGTGAGAAGTGCGTCGTTGAGCGCCATACCCTTCGTTTTCGCCGCCGCGTCGTGCACCATCCTGATCTTTCCCGGCTTCTGAGGATTGAAGACCGGGAAGCAGGGCAGGTACCATTTCTTGTCATTGTCGCTATTGACGGGCGCGAGTTCTGCGTAACCTTTCTCCACCAGGGCCTCCATCTGCTCGATGACCTTGCCCTTGACCTCTGGGTCCTTTTCTATCTTCTTTTCGGTGGCTTCCAGCCTCCTGAGGGCGTAGTCTCTGTTCTCAGGCATCTTGATATCTTCGTTTTTCCATAATAACCCGGTTTGGAAGCGTCCGTCCATTAACCGTGTGGTTTTTTCTTTCAGTATTTTCAGTGCTCGGGCTTCGGGGTCGTTGAGAGGCAGCTTAGGGGCAATCGTCAAGGCCTCCAACGAGAAGAAGTGCTTGAGGTCCATGTTGAGGCGTTCCTCGCTCTCAATCTCTTGTGTAAAATGCACTCTGTGCCCGACGGTGCGACTGCACGCGCCGTGTAGCACCCAGCCGAGCGGTGTAAGCGAAGCGATAGGTTGGTGTCGCTTACCGATTCTCTGCTCCTGTGCGACGAGCAGGTGCCAGTTGTCCTGGCCGATCAATATTTGCGGCCGCGCACTATGTAGCACCAGTGTTGCCAACAGCTACCAAAGGCTCGTAGCTAGGAATTTAACAGAAAGTAGCTAGATTGAGTATTTTTTTCTCCCTAAAAAGTAGCTAGAAGTAGCTGAATTCAGAAGTAAATAAAATACTAAAGAAATAAAACACTGCAGTTAATAAATCAGCTATAAACTTTAATCAACTTAACTTTAATACTGTGACTACTTAATTAACAAATAAAAGAAGACAATATTTTGATTATCTACCGAATATTATAATTATCTAATATCCCATTTTGTCAACTACGGCTTTAAGAAAAACGTATTTGTGACAGCACTGGCCGCTTTTCCTGAGCGAATCTTTTATGCATAAAATAAATTTCAGAGTTATTAAACTCATTCTATTCCTCTGTTTATTTTTTATTAAATTTATTTGGGAGAACAATCTTTCTACCTCAGCATTTGAATGCGGAAGTGAAAGACATGCTAAAGCGAGTTACAAATACTTTGTAAAAAATTATCATAATCAATAGTTGCTAGAAAAAGTAGCTAAAAAGTTTAGCTACAAATAAAAAATAATTGTAGCTGCCTGACATCAAAAAGTTGCTAAATCTAGCTATAAAGTAGCTAAGTTGGCAACACTGTGTAGCACTACACTTTCTTGTATATCACTTAGATGTTCACATCTCACTATGTCTTCGATTTTGACACTTTGCGGCGACAGCTTAAGATTCTGGATGGTGCGCGCTCGTATGCGGTGCTGCTTGCCCTGCCCGGACCGGTTGAGTGTGATGTTGAGCCTCCGGGACGCGGAGGTGTCCACCCGCGCACTCCCGATGGCCTTATACCACGATTAACTTATATTGACCGTCTGCATGTGATACAGGGCGGAGCGCTTAGCCTTAAGCAAGCTATATGTCGCCTTGGCTTTTTCGCTGCGGGTGCGCTTTCTGGATTTGGCTACTGGAGTCTGGAATTAAGTGCTTCTGAGGGAGTACTCTCGTGGGACGAGGTGGAAGAGCCAGACTCTGATGACTCATTAGAGCTGGACTGGGAGGATTAGCATTGGGACTCCGAGGAGCCTCCCGAAGAGGTATTAGACGGTTTATACGATTACTTCCCTCTGGGTCAACGAGAAGTGTGTGTACCTATGGTGAGCCCTAAGTTTGTATCCCCCTTGCCAATCTTAATGTGCAAGAGGGGCCATATGACCTGCTCACGTTTTCAACTTTGGACCAAATTCTCTCTGGTCACTGTTGCATTTTCACAAAATTCTTCTTNTCAGCTAGTTACATATGAAAGAGATAACGTGGCGGCCGGCACGTCCAGCCGGTTCGTCGGTGGTTGATAGGCGACAGTGACCATCTCAGATCATAGAAGGGAATAGATGTGAAACGGGGGCGTGGCGCGTGTCTCCGCGATATGCCCAGAAACGAACATCGTCCGCGACGCCAGGTTAGTCGCGATTCAGTCGTACTGAGGAAATGTTCTCCGATATTGTTGGATAATGCGTCGTAACGTGCAATAACATAAGTGAAACGAAGAACTACAGGAACAATGAAGTCATTTACCACATGTAAGTATTGCAAATCCATTGGTATTTTGCTTATAAATAAAAAAAACTAAACATTTTTACGAACGAATTCAGTGCCGTGACATTTACTGCGATATCGAAATTAGTGGTGATAAAAATTCAAACACGTTGTACATTGACGATTTAGTTAGCAACCACTTTATTTCTGAGTTTTTCGTCCATACAAAATGGAACTGACTCCTTTATGCAAAAATCGTTAAAGAACATAATAATAACGTATAATAATAAAAAGGTTTTCATACAAGCATTTTTTAAACCAATTTCGAGCCTTGCCCCCAGGATTTAAAGTATCGATATCTTATCGACTCCATTTTATCTTTCTTCTCTCTAATTGCTTTTTTCAAAGTGTGCGTCACGTCACGCGGCCATTGATTGGCCATAAGGCACGCCTTCTGGCCAATCACAGCACTTTTAAGCCGGTTGCACATGTTGTCGTAGACTCTCAGTCGCTTTGTTTTTACACAGTTGAATGTGTGTGTGGGAGCTGTGGTGGGGGAAATGTGGGGACACTGGTTCTCGTTGTAGTTACGCGCGACTTCATATCTATTCTCTTTCTATGATCTGAGGTGACCATTCACTACATGGAAGAGTGAACGCGCGTAAAGTTAAAAAGGCCGATTTCATACATTTTGTAATTTAATTAAACAATAAACATTTTTCTTAGTTACCAGAACTTACATACATTGTTATAAATAATCACAACAACAAAAATCAAAGTAAAATTTTTCAGTTTGATTCTCAATTGCATCTTCAGTATTTTCACATTCATTATTATTTTTAATATCATACAGTTGGATAATTCTTCTTGTACGTTTCATTTTTGTTAGATGTAATGATTTTGCCCTTCTCCATATTGCATTCGAAAAATGAAAGAAGCATCCTTTGACAATCACGTTTGGGAACACTTCAACTATTGCTTTCATGGCAGCTTCTTCATAGTTAAAAGAAAACTTGAAAGGTTGCCATTGCGGCACTTATGTCTTTATTCCTGGTATCCTACCAGCGAAACTAATCGTAGAACTAAACGGAGTTTAGTCCTACTAGTAGAAATAAACGGACAGTTTTCGCCGTTTAGTTCTCTAATGTTTATGGGCAAATACCTGCCTAATTCTGGTTAAATAAAAGACATGTACATTGTACAATGTAGGTACATATTCATATCATACACAGATATTACATTTCCATTACTTCTTCTTGTGTAGATAAGAAAGATGTGTTCAAAGAAGATGCACATATTTTATCATTATTGTCAATTAATATGTTGTTTTGGCTGGAACAAGTTATTTCAACTCGCATCTAAAATGAAGGTTTCTCCTTAAGTCAACAAAATCAAAGTTATTTAAAAATAAGCATGTAAATTAAAAAATTATACAAACCATTAAAAAAAAACTGCAGCGCCATCATTTAGATTGGTTCTGTTTGTTCTTTTATTATAGAAAGGATTATTGCATCAGTTTCTGACTGTAGTTTTTGGTTTCCAATAGCCACCACCAGTTTTTTTCATTTCTATCTAAAACCATAATAATTTATTAGTTACAATAATAAAGATTAATACCTATTAATATTTGTAAAAAATCATTATTAATGGTACTTTACCTTGTCTTCTTTAATATTCATTAAAGCTTGTGTTAAATCTTCCTCAGTCACAACTTCCATTTCTGTTGCCCGAATTAAGGGAGGGAGTGGCTGCTACAGAGTCAGACTTGAGACGCCTGGTCAACTGCCAAAAGGCTAGATGATTCGGCTCGAGGGATTGTACCATAGAGTCCCATCGTTCGTTCCGGAGATCGCGAATGCATTTCTTTACAGCACGCTGCAAGGAGCGCATGCGAACCCGGTTCTCTTCGGTGGGGTACGAGTCGTAAGCTCGGATGGCCGCGTTCTTCTCCGTCAACAGAGCGCGTGCATCAGGCGACAGGTTCCATCTTTGGTGACCCAAGTCCGGTACCTGTCGTGAACAGTCCTTCACGACGTTCTGCACGTGACTGGTGAGGGAGTTGATAGCGCTGGCGGTCTGTTCCGGTGTGCTAATCACGTCCGGATTGGTATCTAGGAGGGGAGAAGAGGCCGACTTGAGGCTTTCGCCCAGTCTGTCCCAATCCACCACTACCTTTGACGGGGGAGGGAGGCCTGTGTTCGAATCGGGGCCTACTCGGGGGATTAAACTAATGACCACAGGCCTGTGGTCAGAGTCCAAGGCGTGATAGAGCTCTATAGAGCTTAAGCGGAGATTTATGTTCTTAAGGAGACAAATCGAGAATGTCTGGGCGGTGTCCTACTATGGCAGGGAAGTGGGTCGGAGACATGGGAGCGATGACATCAAAGTTCAGTTGGTCTGCCAAGGACTCTAGCTGCCTACCGCGGGGGTTTGTGCTAACACAATTCCACGCGGTATGTTTGGCGTTTAGATCCCCCGCCACTACGACGGAGCTACCTAAGTTGTGCAAGAAAGGATTTTTTTCCTGGCGGCTTGGTGACTGGAATTGAACCGCCACCGGTGCAGACTGAGAAGATGGTGAATTGTCTGCACGTGAAAAAGAGGTTGTCCGGCTTGCAGAAATTTATAAAAGTTACCGTTCCTTGTATGAAATTAAAAAAATGTAAATAAAACAGCTCCCTCTCAATTGACACAATTTATTTTGTCTCGTAAGCTTGAATACAGTTGACAATTACGATATTATAACTACTGTAATAGATAGTGCCAATCTCAAGGGATTCAGGGTCGTTAATTAGGTTCGGTTTGGTGAATATTATCGCCACTACAAATTTCTTAAAACTCAGCCTAAATATTAAAAGACTCTAATAGTTAAGATAACTGCACGATGTCAGGTCGGAAAGACTCCTACTTGAAGGATGGAAAAGTGGGTACCTTGGAAGCCATGCGGTTATAAGCCGTTACCCTGAACGTTCCTCTCTTCTTCCGGGGTCCAACGGGTCTCGCACACTTTTAGGCTCCAAGCAGCGTCCTCCACGGCCTCAACGCGCAGTGCCAGATGAAGCTCTTGCATCTCTTCGCCAGGTAAGCGTTCAAACTCTTGCAGAGACAGAGGTTTGATGACAAGGAGGAAATGCGAAGAGATCAGCAGTTTAGAAAGGACAAATATTTCATACGAAATGAAGAGAAATTAAAATATATGAAATATCAAAATGCAAAATATGAAATATGAAATTTGAAATCCCGCATCTGAAACGAAAAATACGAGTGTCAGCATCACATGTGGAACGTGGCATTAGGTTATGAAAAAACCCGCAATGGGAAAGAAATACTTACGAAGGCTGTTCACTAATTTGAGCTTCGCTCGCAGCCCTCAGCAACCCAATACCCACATCCGAATAGAATTTAGGGAATTTCTGAAAGAAACGATCACATGAAATACTGGAATACGAAAAATATCAATCACGAAAAATAAATAAATTCTCCGACGGGAACTTACCTCATGTGTGATCATTTTAAAAATATATTAAGAAATTATCGTGGATGCATTCTGCAAAACACGATTTGAAACACAGGGAACTACATCCCAGAAAACAATAAAATTGCGGTTGCGCAAGATCGACCAAAATTCCAAAGTGATTTGACAGCTCAACTGACAGCCGCGATGTCAATCGCGAGACGTTTCGTTTCGCCGCTTTAAAAAAGCAAATACTAATAAACACCATGATGAAAACAATCTCCTGAACACTGAAAATATTCTATTAAAAAATAGAATAATCAAAATAAAAACATTAGGAAATGTTTCAATAAAATATATTTGAATTGACTGAGCAAAAAGCGCCATCTATTGCAAATTAATTCTAAATCACGCCAATAGATGTCGCTAGTGGTATCCTAAATCCAAATATCGAGTAAGAAAATCAATTTGTGAAAAACAGCCAAAACTGCAACGCTACAGTTGAGAATCGCCTCTAGGTCGCTAGTAATTAGTGATCTAGAGCGTTCGGGGTTGTTGTTAGCCGGCGCTAGGTAGGCTGAAGGTACACAGTGCAGTGACCTTTTATAGTAGATGAGAGTGCCACCGTGGGCGGAAGTAGTCCTATCGTTGCGAACTATGTAATTTTAGGGTCCCTGAAAGAGGGTTTTAGGAAGGTCTCCTGCATGAGAAAGACGTCTCACTGGTGCTCCCTCAGGAAATCAGCGATTTCTATTCTTTGGGATTTGTACCCGTTAGCGTTAAAATAGCTTATTTTTAAGGCTTTTGGTTTGACTCTGCTCTTGGTTTGTAAATCAATTATGGGTTTAATCTAAAGTCCTT